TCCAACTAAATTTGACTTTATAGCACCTATGAGTTTCCATTCGCTTGGCATTAAAGAACTGACCAGAGGGTGTAAAGTTGTTCTGGCCCCTGACCTTAAGCTTTTATTTCATGGAATTTGTCTATAGGAATTTGCATGTCCCCTTCCGTGCAGCCATTTAAAGGATAGGATAATGAGCCTGAAAATCAATCTTAAAACTAAGCCCGAGCTAGTTCGATAGTTGACCTGTAGCAAAACATTATTAAACTAAAATTAATCGACCTCATTTTTAGAATGCCCATAGCATCTTAAGCGCTCACTCCCTAATGGCATGAGTGAGAACGGAAGGAGTGAAAAATACATTCGAAAATTTCGAGTAAATGTCGTAATGTATAAAGAACAAATGAAAAAACGTTTGCATTAATAGAGAATAGTGACCACAAAGCAAGTCGTATTGCTGAATTTTACAGAGTGAAGTGGTAAGAACTCAAAAACTAGTTTATAATTAATATAGGAAATCACAGTAAGTAATATTTACATATAAAAACGAATCCATGTCTAAAATATCCAAACCATAGGAAATTATTCTGGTATAAATGTTAGATATGGATGGCAAAAATAGGATGCTAAATTGGAATAGCACAGTATATATAAAATAATAATTGACAAATAAATAATGCTTAACTTGACGTTTTTGATTCTAATGTCCCTAAGTATTATATGCTCAATTTAAATGTATTAATAAAGACAAAGATAAGCCCCAGAACGTGAAGCGTATCTGGAAGACAGCTGTGAAGGCAGATGAGTAAGTACCGGATTCGAACTTAACTGGCTCTGACCCAGCTATGAAAGGCACGTCATACGCGACAGCAGAGCACTCCGGCTGAAGTCGCCTACATGTGTCATCAGTCAGGTCACTTTCTGCGAAACTTTGGATACGGGGATAACTGGCGAAAAGCAGAGTACTGCGGAAATAGGCTGTAGCATCGGCCACCGTCTCGACAATACCATTCGCGATTACCTGCATCAAGTTTATGAGAAAAATATAGCCAGAAAATAACCAATTAAAGAGTAAACAAGATACATGAAGTCACAGAAAACGGAAAGCACGAAAACAAAATGTTGTGATGATGTGGTGTTTTTTATATAATTTTATAGACACTAAGTGATTGTGGCCCAACCAAAATCAATTAACTACTACAGACGTTTGAAGGTCAAAGTAGTTAGTAAATTAACCAAAACAGGGTTGGTAAAACCCAAAAAATATATTGATGATATACTTCAATCCTTTAAATCAAACACGTATCACTGTGAATCCTGGTAGAGTAAAACTCGTTTGTCACAAAGAGATCCAACTAAAAATAGTGTTCAAAAGAAAATAAGGCAAGCTCCAATAAAGATTAGTGGCCTAACTTCAGATTTCCAGCTATATTTAGCCTATGAACAAAATCTAAGGCAATTATTATTTTTGGGTAAGTAGTGGTCTTTGTCTGGAAGTTACCTGAAGACTAATTTTTGTCGAGGCAAATAAGGATAACATGGTCTCTTGTTGGACTAAAATCGAGTTTATCCGGCATAAATTGAATACATGGGTGAAGTTCGTATCAATTTACCCTTTCCACTTGTCTCAAAGAGTTTTTCATATCAAGATGAACTGCAGGTATGCCTCTGTCTCATTCCCATAAGTAGGCTCAGGGGATCCAACTAGTGGGGATTAAGAGGCAGAGGTGTAGGTTTTCGCTTCAAGCTTAAAGAGCGCAGAGGTTGTTTGACCTTGTTTTCGCAAAATGGTCATTTTGGTAGGAACGCACCTAGTCCGAAGTCAATTGTATGCATCATCATTTCTAGATTAGGACCGTGGACATGGTACATTCCCAGACGTTTCGCCGGCATCATCAGTGAGTTTCGCCATTCTTAGCACCATTTAACAACTCGTCAAAGAGACAAGTGAAGCCAATCCTTTGACCAAACGTGTGCTAAACAGATGTGGTATCTCCCCTTCTGCCCTGGGCTATTCACATTTCCT